GGGGGGGCGGGTCTGTGGGCCCCCGCGTCCACTATTGGGCATTCTTTTGGAGAAATCTGGTGGTGGCGGGCGTGCTTGCGCGGATGTTTGGATTCAGGTGCTTTGACAGATGCACGCTAGGTTGGGTAGTGGTGGAAGCTAGATGATTCCTTGTGCAATGTCGATGTTTCATGGTGATATTGTGGGTGGCATTGTGCTGTGCATGTTGTTTTGTCGTGGTGGTCTCTCGTTTTATCTATTTCTCTTTTATTATTTATTTATTCTTCTTTCTTCTCTTTCTTTAAAAAAAATAAATTGAGCGATGATGATAAGTTCATTGAAACACTTCACAATGTTTCTACACTTAAACTGAGCTAAAAAAAAAAAAATAAATAAATAAATATTGTCCAGCCCTTCTTTAAATTGTCCTTGGGTGTGAATGATAGTCTCTGTGTCCTTCTGATGGACTGGAGACCTGTCCAGGGTGTCCCCAGCCTCTCGCACTGTGACTGCTGGAGATAAGCACCACAGTGTGTGGTGTCTTTCACTGCAGGTTCATACCTGAGATTTAAAATACACAGGTGGAGTTTGTTGATGTGACTATCAATGGTGCTGTTGTAACTGGGGGATGACTTCAAGATAAACACTGCCAGTTGGATTGGTGGTTCTGATTCAATGTTGTTTGTGTTGTCTCAGATTGTCAGGCTGCAGTCAGCTCTGGAGGAATCCCAGCTAAATGAAAAACAGCTGAAGCACAAGCTGGAGCTGCAAACCGAGACACTGAACAACAAGATGGAGGAGCTGCGGGCTCTGAATGAACACACCCAGAACTCCATGACATCTGAGATGATGGAGGTACAGATGAGGATCATGGAGCTGGAGAACATCAAGGTACTGTAGAGAACCCAGCTCTAGCCAGCAGTACGTTTAGTTTCTGGTCTCTTCGTTGGGTGTTGGTGACCGTTTGTGTTCCAGGTGGAGTTAGAGCAGATGCTGCAGGAGTGTCGGCACAGAGTGCAGCAGCTAGAACTGCACAGCAGCGGCCTGCAGAGGCAGCTGGATAGAACCACGGAGGAGAAAGAAGAACGAGAGAAAGAAGCTGTGTCCTGGTTTAATGCATTAGAGGTGAGCATGCTCACCACAACCCACAGGGTTTGCTCTGGTTCTGACATGTGAAAGATGTTTTGAATGAAGGCTGATGAAGATGTTTGAAGTGAGGTTAGATGATTCTGTCTCGTACAGAGGTGAAGTTTCTTCATTATTACTGCAGAAAATGTTCCCGTCAGTGCAGAGGTTAAACAAGCCATGGGAGATGTCATAAACATTTTTATAGTCTGACTCGCAACTTTTAAATATGACTAATGGTCTGTTCTGCCTCATTTCCATCATTGTTGCATCCAAATACATTTTTTGTGTAATCCATTTGTATTTGTAGAATGTCATAAACATAGGTATTGTTTTTGAACAATTGACAATTGAAATCCTGTAAAGTGCCCTGAGACAACTTTGTTGTGATTTGGCACTATATAAATAAACTGAATTGAATTGAATTGAAATAAAAACACATTTTAAAGCATTAATAAGTAAACGGGTATCAGTGGAGGCATGTTGTCGGTAACAGCTGATGCTTCAGTTTTTTGTCCCCTGTCGCAGAGCAAAGAGTAGGAATTGGAAATACCGTCCGTGCATGTTGTCAGCATGATAACTTGAAAAATAAGTGAAGTAACGTCTTCCATTTTGGTGTGTGACTACATTTAGTCATAACAAAAGTTCCTTTTGAAAATTGGGATGCCAAGTCAACATCCAAGATGGCTACCACCTTATATACCAGTATATGTAAACCAGTCACCTCAATCACTTGATGAAGAAAAACAAAACAATGCTTTCTAATTTTTATTTCCTCCAGTGGTTGGAGTGGCCAAAGATTAATCAATGATGGCAAAGTCTACCAGTCGCTACCCCCTGGCTCTGCTATTGCACCTGGCTGTGGATAAAACTACTCCCTCCACTCACCAGGATCTGTCACTCTGCGCCTTTTCAAACGAACAAACATTGACAGCAACATCATACTGCTAGTGGTTGGTTAAAAATAACATGCATTGCCTGTTGATTTAAATGAATAATACGTTGGGGCAGCTGTGGCTGAGTGGTTAGAGCAGTCGTCCTCCATTGCGAGAGTTGGGGGTTCAATTCCACTAGCAGTCACATGCTGAAGTGTCCTTGGGCAAAACACTGAACCCTCCATTGCCTCTGATGTGCGTCCCATCGGTGAATGAATGTGATAAAGCACTGATTATTCTTTGTATAGATCTAGTAGAGTGCTGTATGAATGGGTAAATGAGGCACAGATTGTTGTAAAGAGCTTTGAATGTCTTGATAAGATGGAAAGGCACTACAGAGCACCAGGATAATCAAAGTCACAATCTGTGCCTCATTTACCTCCACACACACATTCATACAGCACTCTACTACATCCCTACAAAGATAATCTGAACAAATCATTCTGTAGACTAATCAGTTTTAGCTCACATTCATACACTGATGGGACACACATCAGAGGCAATGAGGAGTTTTGTCTTGCTCAGGGACACTTCAGTATGTGACTGCGTAAATGTTGGATAAAAATATCCTCTAATGATCTTAATTACTCAAAGAAGCCACACTCAAGGACACAAGAAGATGTCTGAACTGGTTTTACTTGCAAGGGTAGACTTTCACTCATAGGTTTACACAGATGCATAAAAGTTCTACATCAGGGAGCCCAGTCACGAGAATCTGCACCGGGCAATGTGTGAGGTTTATTATATATGCTTTTCAACTCCCACATACAGTCACTGATGACCTCGGCCTCCCAACTGTACATGCAGGATTAAATAAGCCCTGATTGAGAAAAGAGCTCTCTGGCTACTCAAACACATGATTCGTGGACAGTTAACATTAGTAGTGATAAAACATCTATAAACCTTGACCAAAATTCCCTGACAGTAATGTTGGAATCAAACCCCCAACTTGCATTGGAGAACCGATACTCTAACCACTCAGCCACAGCCGACCTGTTTCTCTTCGTCTCATGTGACATCATAATCGGAAGAGAATCAGAATACCATACCATACCACTTTATTTATAAAGCACTTAAAACAGCAACAAGGCCAACCAAAGTGCTGTACAGACAAAACAACAGGTAACACACAAAGCAAAATACAAAATGAGGTAAATCAGAATATAGACAAAAACCGATGCAGATAATGACGACAAACCAGTGTGGAGCATACAGGATCAAAACAGAGATCATCTTGTGTTGAAAGCTATTGAATAGTAGTGAGTTTTTAAACGGGACTTGAAAACCGAGAGGGAGGGGGCCTGTCTGACAAGCAGAGGTAACTCGTTCCAGAGTCTTGGTCCTGCTACAGAGAAGGCCCTGTCACCTCTGCGCTTAAGAAGAGTTCCTGGAACTGTGAGGAACAACTGGTCCGCTGACCTCAGGGAGCGTGGTGGGACATACGGTTGTAGCAAATCAGAGAGATAGGGGGGCGACACTGTTCAGTGATTTGTAGACATACATGAGTATTTTGAACTGGATTCGAAAGTGAACCGGTAACCAGTGCAGTGAGGCCAAAACTGGTGTAATGTGCTCTCTTTAGCCTGTACTGGTTAAAAATCAGGCTGCTGCATTCTGGACCAGTTGTAGTCGTGCAATGGAAGTCCGACTGATACCAATCAGGAGCGAATTGCAGTAATCAAGCCTAGATGTAATGAATGCATGTATTACTGTCTCCAGGTTATTTTTGGACAATATGGGCTTCAGTTTAGACAGCCGCCTCAGTTGGAAGAAGCATGATTTAACAATCATGTTTACATGATTAAGTTTCAGGGAAGGGTCCATTATCACGCCCAGATTATTGACTCTTTGTTTTTCTGACAGGGTTAGAGCGGAAAGGTCGATGCAGTGGTTTGTGATTGTGTCGTTGGGTGGGAACAACATGACTTCAGGCTTCTTTTCATTGAAACTTAAGAAATCATTCCCTGATGTCAGCCAGGCAGTTGAGCAGCGGTTGAATAGAGCCATTGTGTCTTAGGGGGAAGTAAATTTGACAGTCATCGGCATAGAAGTGGAAGGGCATGTTGTGTTTCCGGAAAATAGCACCAAGCGGCAGCAGGTATAAAGAGAATAGGAGGGGACCCAGTATGGACCCCTGCGGAACCCCCCATTTAAGCTCTGCCTCTGCGGAACTAAAATCCTTGATGGAGACACAAAAGGATCTGTCAGTGAGGTAAGATCTGAACCAGTTGAGGGCTGATCCTGTGATGCCCACCCTCTGCTCCAACCTAGCAATGAGGATCTCACGGTCGATGGTGTCAAAGGCGGCTGTGAGGTCTAGCAGGACAAGCAGCACAGAATCACCGGTATCTGTGAATCTGAAGATGTCATTAAAGACCTTCAGCAGGGCAGTTTCAGTGCTGTGGAGAGGTTTAAAGCCAGATTGGAAAAGCTCTAAGATGGCGTGATCCTCCAGGAAGCACTTCAACTGGGACTCGACTATTTTCTCCAGTACTTTAGAAACAAATGGGAGTTTGGAGACAGGCCGGAAGTTGGAAACGAGTGAGGGGTCAAGGTTTGGTTTTTTCAGGAGAGGCTGGACGGCAGCATGTTTAAAGGTTTTTGGCACCATGCCAGTGGATAAACTACTGTTTACTATGGCAAGAATAGACGGACCTAGAGTAAGAAAAACCTCCTTTAGTAGTCGAGGGGGGACCACATCAAAGGGGGAACCAGAAGGTTTCAAGCTGCACATGACCTGCTCTAGAGAAGATAGAGTGATGGGTTCAAAATGGTCAAAAGGAGCTACAGATTGAGGTGGGATGGATGGGTCATGAGTTGGAGGGGAAATGAGAGCCCTGGTGGTCGCAATTTTTTCCACAAAGAAATATAGGAAGTTGTCGCACAGCTCAGTTGAGGCTTCCAGAGGTGATGGTTCAGTGAGGTGGAGAACAGAGTTTAGGGTGGAGAAGAGGACACGTGGGTTGTGAGAGTTTGAGGTAATTATATCAGAGAAGAATTTTGATTTTGCATTTTTTACTGTTTTCTGAAAACAGTGCCAGCTCTCTTTAAATATTTGGAAAGAGACCTGCAGCCTGTCTTTCCTCCCCTTTCGCTCCGCCCTCCTACATTGCTGCCTAGCGGCCTTGGTGACGTCGCTCAGCCAAGGTTCTGCTCTGAGTTTTGATTTTTTGGTTTTAACAGGTGCAACATGATCCCTAGTCTTTAAGCAGACAGAGTTGAACTGGGATGTCAGCTCCTCAGTGGTGGTGAGAAAAACTGGGGGCTGAATGATCATTTCAGAATTATAAACATCTGTGAAACGTGTGGCAGTGAAGTGGTTAATGGTCCGGCTGCGACGTGCAGGAATGCACGGCTTAGGAGTTAGATGGGGGAGGGTGAACTCAAACTGGACTGGCATGTGGTCTGAAAAAACATTATCATCATTAACAAGATTATCAGCAGTCATATCATGAGTTAAAACAAGGTCCAGTGTGTGTCCACGCTCTTGGGTGGGACCGTTTACATGCCGAGTTAAATTAAATGAGTCCAATAAATCGAAAAAGTCTTTAACCAAGGGCTTCTCAGAACAGCACACGTGCAAATTAAAGTCACCAATAATGAAAACATGCTCATATTTTGGTGTGATTTCAGCCAAGAAGTCAGAAAACTCATTTATGAAGTCCTTAGATCGAGGTGGACGGTAGACGAGTGCAAATAACGTCGGAGGCGAGTGGCCGAGTTCAAAGACGCTCAGCTCAAAGCTGGTGCGGGAAACTGGGATGGGCAGTTGTTTACAGTCAAAAGTTGATTTGAATATTGTTAATAATCCACCACCACGCCGGCCTGATGGCCGCGGGGCGTTAAAACACAGACTGTTCGGTGGCAGTAAATCCGTCAAGGCGCTGGACTCACCCGGAGACATCCAAGTCTCTGATGCAGAAAAAGTCCAGATCGTGCTGTTGAAAGTAGTCCCTGAGGATAAAAGTTTTGTTTGTAACAGATCTTGCATTGACCAAACACATCCGGATACTGTCCAAAGTAGAGCCAGCAGCGGTGGAGTTAGTGCGCGCTAATGGCCGCAGG